TGTGTGTGTGTGTGTGTCTGTGTGTGTGTGTATCATTACATTCGCTATACACCTCCACAAACAAAAGCATGATGGTGCCAGACTGCTTCATCAGACTTTCACCAACTTATCAGGAGGTTGAACCCCAACAGTCTTCCCAGGATATATTTGACTAATGGATAAGGACTCACCAAACCTCTGCCGGTTGAAAGCAAAAGCTTCCCACCTGCTCAATGTTCATCGTCACATCCACAATTTTTTCATTCTTGCAACTGCCCTTTGTTGCAAACTGGCCCCTTTTTTGCAGGGAAAATGAGTGAGGGTTGCAATCAGACTCGTTTTCATTCACACTTTCCATGCACGTAAACAGTAGCGCAGCAAACTGGCGACATGCGCCCACTCAAAACTCAGAGATATGGCATCCAGATACGAGTTCACTTTCAACTGGCTATGGCGACTCAGCGCCCAAACAACTCACTGTTCACATACACCGGATCACCCTGGATATCCCACACGCGACTCTCTGAACACTCGCACATACACACACACACTTCACACTAACTACAGCTATGGCAGCTATGGCTGCCTCTACCCTATCGCTATGCTACGGTCCTTCTCTCTCGCCCACTTCAGCTCCGGGCTCTCTGCAGACCTCCTTGCACAAGTCGCTGTGGCAGCGCTTCCGCATGGCTCACGCAGGAATGAATGAAAGGCTGGGCGCTGCCCCTTGATTTATACTTCTGAAACTCGTTGGTCTGCCCTCTTCCATCGGCCCATAGTGCTCAAAGTCCCTTGTGGTACTTGCTGGACCGGACTGGGACTGACTGGACATTACCACTGACTGAGTGGGGACTCACTGCTAACCTACCACCGTCGTACTGCAATTGCACTGCAGTTTAGTCCACCACTTGACTCACCACTTGCCCACTTGCCCATTGCTGACCTTCTAGAAGGACTACAGCTAGGACTTCTGGAACTCGCTAAGACTTCTATCCTACAGATCTAAAGATCAAACCCCTCTGCTACCTACGAGCCTATGACAGCCTACCAACTGTTTACGAACACACAGGTCACAGGTTCAACTTTCGGGGTCTACACAGATACTGTACACAGGTAGGGCAAGGTCTAGGGATCGAACCCTGGGRTCTGCGTCTGCTACTGTAAAGAGGTGAAAACCGTTTCACTCCCCCCGTCCTAAATTCGAGGTCCTCCGAGAATATTTCAGTCCAAGGCAGGACCTTTACCCTTCTTATCACGCTCATAGGCTCTGACTATGTCGGGAGCTGTTTCTAGAAGTTCTGTCCTTGTAAACCAGCGGTTGTCCTCCGGTTCCTGATAAGCAAACCGGACCTTATACTGTTTCTGGGGACGACCTCTACCTCTTGTTCTGAACACATCCTCATCTACAATGTCGTTAATGTCATAATGGGACTCCGTTCTCACTAACCCAATGATCAAAAAACTTCTGAATAACTAATTATGTGCGTGCCTCTGCAGGCAAAGGAACGAAAACGGCATACTTGCTAAAACAATCAACTATGACCATGACTTAGCTCTTGCCATGCCTACTCTTGACCTGAGTATCCATGAAGTCTATGGACACTGAGTCTCCCGGTTGATCAGGAATAGGCAAGGGTCTGAGAAGACCTAGAGGGGCACGCGTAGTGGTCTTGTTCCTCGGGCAAACTTTGCAACTGCGAACATACTCTATGCAGCCATTCTTCATCCCTGGCCAGGTGTACGCACGCATCAGATTGGCTAATGTCTTTTGCCAACCAAAGTGTTCCTCGGTGTCATGGCATTCCCCTAAGATCAGACTGCGGATTTCCTCACTGTTGGGAACGCATAGGCGGTCGAATACATCTGTCTTCTCAAACAACAATCCTTCTGTGGTGCGGTAGTGTGATTCGGTCTCTGGGGCCTC